CCCCATCCCCGCTTACCTTTTATGCAGAACTTTCCTCGGAAAACATACCCACCTGCTCAGCAAATCCAGTATTATGCCACTGTAATCCGCCAGGCCACTGGAATAATCCGGGTCTCGTGTCACCATCTTCCTTTGTGACATTAAAGGGAGCCCGGCTGTCTTTCTCAGGTCCTGCAGTTGGCCCCAAAGATGCGTGGCCAGATCTGCCCACTGGCCCCTGGGAGTACATGCTCCTGTAGCCTCCTGGGATATGTGACAGGAGCAGGACATGTCATTTTCACCTAAGCGATAATGGCGGTAGGGCATGGTGGAGGAGGGTGGCTCGACGATGTTTGGATGACCCCCCCCTGCCCTTTAAGTGAGGGGGAGTCTTTTCTTACACAATTGTCACCAGAAGATTGGCCCAATTTGGATGATTTCTCCTCGCCTCTTGCTGAGGTGACAACTCTAAAATGTTTGATTTTCCCCCTCTGGTTTTGGTGATGGTGGTTGCCAGGAAATCTGGAGGGTTATTCTCCCCAATAGAGACACAGCACTAAAAACTTGGCAAAAGGTCTAACACTTCCACACTCCAAAACTAAAACAAAAAAGGTTTCCCATACACTTTAAAGAAAGCCGCCACATCCAGGGATCTTGTTCCCAGAGAACTCGAGATGTAAAAAGCCAAAACTGAAATATCAGAGCTCGATACTCTTGATGGTGCAGTGTTACCACTAGAGCCTGGAAGAGTTATAAGAAGATGGTAAACCATCCAGCCTACCACATAATGCTGATTACTGAAATATCCACTTGGGGTGGAATGCCCCTTTAACAGGTCATGGGGAATAGTAAATAAACCCATCATAAACCTGGGTAGGTCACAACTTTTACTGAGGCAACAATGTAATAAAAAGGGATTTCCATAATTGTGCTATAAATAGGAGGTCACGCCTTTTAGCTGCTATAACTGTATTGTAAATAAAGTTACACTAAGCTACATGTAAAGCTTTCTACACACATTACAATTTGATTGTACAATCTCTGCAATCGGCAGTGACTTCTGAGATGTCTTTAAGTGTCCTAGGTTTGTGCCAGTTTTAGGGTCAATGTCAACAGAGCTTTTAGGCAAATGCATCTTGCATTTCACATCAGTTTGAGACGCTTCAGAGGTCATGCGGAATGCCTGACCTGCAGTTGACCTCCTTGTGGCCTGCAGTTGCCCACCAGGCTTGCAGTTGACCTGTGGCGGATCCTCCACCTGACTTGCTCTCGGCTCCCTCCAGAGCTGCTCTCGGCTCCCTCCCAGACCTGCTCTCGGCTCCCTCCCAGACCTGCGCTCGGCTCCCTCCCAGACCTGCGCTCGGCTCCCTCCAGAGCTGCGCTCGGCTCCCTCCAGAGCTGCTCTCGGCTCCCTCCAGAGCTGCTCTCGGCTCCCTCCCAGAGCCGCGCTCGGCTCCCTCCCAGAGCCGCGCTCGGCTCCCTCCCAGAGCCGCGCTCGGCTCCCTCCAGAGCTGCTCTTGATCCACTTGGAGCTGTTTTTGCATTTATTAGAAGAGTATGGGTAGAGAAACATTTCTGAAGCAATATAAAGCCTGCCAACACTGACCCTCAGCTCCCGTTTACACCTGAGCGTTTCATGTGCATTTTCTGATGTGCGACAACGCTCAACATGAAGAACCTCATTATTGTTAATGGTGCCCAATCAAACCCGAGTGTTTTTGTTTTCTTGTCTTTTGTAGTTTGAACCTCAGTAAAGTAAATTACTTTTTCTTTTCGGGCACAGTCAAGCATTTTGACTCCATAGACTTCAGCAGGAGCGTCTATTTTGCACCTACCAACCCTCTCTCCCCCTCCCAATATCTATCTGGAAATGCTCATGTGCGAATGGGGGCTTATTGTGTTGGAAACCTTGGCAGCAAGTACTGTTGTCTTGGCTGTTATTTATGTGCATTCTAATTCTCCTAATCCTGTGTGTTTCAGAGCGACATGGATTCCTGGCATGTGTTTGTACTGCTGGCGTGCCTGCTGACGTGCCTGGCTGCAGAGAATGTCACCACAGGTAAGTAGAGGAACATGACATGTGTGCAAGGCCAGATACTCGGCATTCACTGCACTATTTAAAGGCAACAAATTGTCTGTTTTTCATTATGAACGTAAAGTTACTTTTGCTGTTGCACCTTCCAAGTCATTATGTATTTCAATTTTTACTTGCTTCCTTATTTTCTCTATTGTAGTAATTATTGACATTCATATTCGTAGAGTAACCACTAAAGGCTTCATTCGGCTCAGCGAATACACTCTGCCGCACAGGGAGCGTGTAGAAAAGTCTGCCGCACAGGGAGCGTGTAGAAAAGTCTGCCGCACAGGGAGCGTGTAGAAAACTCTGCCGCACAGGGAGCGCGTAGAAAACTCTGCCGCACAGGGAGCGCGTAGAAAACTCTGCCGCACAGGGAGCGCGTAGAAAACTCTGCCGCACAGGGAGCGTGTAGAAAACGTTTGTTTTTGCTTCATTTTGCACAGAATGAACATTCAGAAAGATGTGCGGGGCGAATGGCTCTCCAAATTGGTTATATATTGATCACATAGACTTGCATTGAGAGTGGTAGCAGTAAAGCACACCCATTGTGTAGCTAAAAAATATATATATATACCGTATATTATAAAGTGTGTATGTGTGTGTATTACTCAGTTGTGCTTTTTCTTTGTGTGTGCAGTAGTTAGACTTCCACCTCAATCCATTTCTTTGCCTGTCTAGTGTCTCCCACCGCAGCACCTCTGAATATTACGTCCGGTCCGACGCTACACATCAACGTCCAGCCCGCTACAGACAGCAATGCCGGAACAGACGCCAAGTCGACGCAAGCGGTCACCGCCACTCCGCCGGTCATCTTGGCGCCTACAATCAATGCTACTGCCCCCATCTCCACGGACACCCCCGTGAGCAATGACTCGGACTCCAGCAACCACACAACACTGTTCCACAATAGCACCGCTGCCCCAACCACTGCCTATGTCCTCAGCAACACTAGCACCCCGGTGGCAACTCTCACTGATATGACCACCGCCATCAGAGACATTCCAGAGGAGGCCACAACTCTGGAAAGCTCGACTGGGGAAAGCATCACACCGTCAGGTATGTGGATTCTCGTGTAATGTCTTCTCACACGTGTTCCCTGTAAAGCCCGTTTTGAAAAGTAAAGGGTATAGTCTGTGTGTCTCATTTCAGCATCCTCCTGTGTTCCTCTGCACAGCAGCTCTTAGACAGTAGGAAGGAGAAACATTATTATGAGACAATTAGCTGTCATCTAAAATTATAGTGGAAAGCGCAGGGATAACCTCACCAGTGTGCCGCTGCTCCTTCATTGTCCAATCACAGCCTGGGGCGGGCCTGGACCACGTTGCGTCACTTAACGGCATCCTGGTCTGAAGGAAGATCCAGGAGCCTGGAAACCTGGATCACAAGACGGTCTAAACAAGATTGCAAATCTTTTGACATGTAGAACAGTTTATATACTGTGAGGGGAATTTATCAAAACTGGAGCAGACACAATCCGGAGCAGCTGTGCATGACAACCAATCGGCTTCTCTGTCTCATTTTCAAGTCTTTCCTGAGCAAACTGAAGAGAGATGCTGATTGGTTGCCATGGGCAACTGCTCCAGATTTTGCCTGTTCCAGTTTTGATGAATTCCCTCCACTATATATTTCAGCAGTGTGGTCAGTAAGGGAGAACATGCATCAGGACTGTGATGGCTTGAAATTGGAAACTGTTATGTCCAGGGAGCCAGGATGCTGAGAGCTCTTCATTTGAAAGTGTAGGAAAAGTAAAGGGAAGGAAGAGAAGGATTTCAAAAGGGAAGGAAAAAGGCAGCAATGCAGAAACAAAAATTAAGGAAGAGAAGGAAGGGAAATTGCAGGATTGTGAATTGAGGCCCCACACTCCGTTTAATAGTCCAGTTACATCTTAATTTATTGCAGGGTTGAGAGGACAGTATAGAAATATCCAACGCGTTTATTGGGCTCATACAACCCCCTCCTGCATCAGGGCTTCCTAAAGGAGAACATGTATCAGGACTGTAATGAAATTGGAAACCTCTTTGTTCCAGTGTGGGATGTCCTCCAACCAAAGTTTCCTGCCAAATCAGCTGATGAGCTCCGTGCATTCTCTCACACTGGACATAGCGTCACAGTCCTGATATATGTTCTCCTTTAGTAAGCCCTGATGAAGGATGCATTTGTATGAACCCCCTGAAACGTGTTGGCTGTTTCTATACCGTATACTACTCAACCCAACATTAAATAAACACGGATCTGGACTATTAAATACAGTGTAGCGCTTCAGTTCACAATCCTACAATTTGACTCCTAAATCCTGAGGAATTCACACTGCTGCATGAGCGGAGGTTTGTTTTCAGATTCTTCCTGGAATCTTGGTGAGCTTTGTGTATTTCTTCCAGATCTGTGCAGTCATCCAGTGTGACACTTCCTGTAATAAAGACCTGTCACTGCTGCGCTCTCTCCTTGTGCAGGGTGGCTGGTCTTATCCCCGCCTCCTCCTGTAATAAAGACTGGTCACTGCTTCTCTCTCTCCTTGTGCAGGGTGACTGGTCTTATCCCCGCCCCCTCCTGTAATAAAGACCGGTCACTGCTGCTCTCTCTCCTTGTGCAGGGTGGCTGGTCTTATCCCCGCCCCCTCCTGCAGTAGGTGGAGCCTGCTTGGCCCCTCCCACAGCTCCTCTTTGCACAGGATACATACAGCACAGTGATTATGTCACTGCTAAATTTACAAGTTAGTATCTAGGTTTGTCGATGCATTTGACTTGCACCGGGTGAATTGATATCCTTTGTGGCCATTGGGGAATATATTGAATAAAAGATGTTTTTCTGCTGGTTGTTCAGCTTTAACAAACACTGATAAAACAATTTCAACAAGTCCCAAAGGGCCTGTGAAAATCTTGGCCGTCTTTCCTATAAATGAGGCCATGTACTCCCATGATTCCCCCTTCCCCTCCCCCGTTTATGCTCTGTTCTATGAGTCTGCATGCATGGAATGCCAGAGTGAGCACATGAAAACATGAAGGATCTTTCCTGTCAAATCTTCATCCCCTGGCCTTGTGTAAACATGTAGGGACAGCGGCATCGTGCTCATCTACCTCTGTGTACGTCACAATGTTGTGCTGCATTGTGATTCCCCTCACACTTCTGCGTGTCCAGTGTATCACACTTGTCACATTCAGTAGTGGAGCGTCTCGTACTGGTCTCGTACTGGTGAGGATGAACCAGAAGCTTACATAGGCAGATGAGGAAAGGAAATGCTGTTACAGTGGACCGTTCAGTCTGCGCGGATACATTCCTGACATGTTACAATGTACAGCAAGGGTGGGAAACTCCAGCTGTTGTGGAACTACAAGTCCCATGAGACATTGCAAGTAGGGTTGCCACCTTTTCTTCAAGCGAAACCCGAACACTCTAGCAACGCGCTGAAATTTTTTGGGGGAGAGTGAGTGGCGGCTTATTCATATGTAAATAGCGCCCATTCATAAACATCACAGTCAAAACTATTCTCAGGGGGGTCCGGTAGCCCCTATCTTCATTTTGGTTGCCCCTGTCTGGCTGACATCATGTGTTCGGGTTTCTGCTGCCATGAAACCCGAACACAGCATTCAAAACCCGGACTGTCCGGGTGAATCCTGGACAGGTGGCAACCCTAATTGCAAGACTGACAATTCCAGGCATGACTTCCAGTGACAGAGACCTGTTGGTGTTTATAGTTAAAAGGCAGCTGGAGTGCTGGAGTTGCTCACCCCTGACATACAGCTACTATATATATATCTATATAGATATATATATATATCGTAGTATTACTATTATTAGTAGTAGTATTATTATTTTTAACGAGCTTCACCATTTATCATTTTAAAAAAACATCCTTGCGCTCCAGCCCAGAGACTTGGCCTAGGCTGAGTTGATGTCATCAGTCTCCTCTCCCCTACAGTGATCAGGCTGTGACTTTGTAGTAAGTCACAAGATGAAAGGCAGGGGCAGGCCCGGCGCTACCGCAAGGCAAGGAAAGCGGCCGCCTGAGGGCGGAAAAAACAGGACATTTTGACTTGTACTTGTCAAAATGCCCTGATTACATGAAGAAGGATTTGAGGCAGCCGACTTCCACAGAAGATCTGTGCTTAGTTCTCTGAGATGTACCCAGAACAACCTCCCTGCCGACTTCCTTCAAACACGGTGTGCAAGTGTACCTAGAAGAAGGCAAAGGGGGTCACACCAAATATTGATTGGATTTGGATTTCTCTTCTATTTCTTTACTTTCCATTTTTTGTTCATTGATAAAAAAAACACTTATGTCTGACAACATTCTCACTTTACAGCATTTTGTCACACCTGCCTAAAACGTTTGCACGGTACTGCATATTTATACAATGTATTTATGTATTCCTCGATGCGTGTGTGCACCAAATGTCAAATGCAAACCCAGGTGTTGCCTTGCAAAATTAGCAGTGACCTCATCGCTGTGCTGTACTTAGAGCTGTGGGAGGGGCCCAGCAATCTCCACCCACTACAGGCTGCCTGTGGAAAACTACAGGAGGGGGCGGAGACAAGACCAGTCACCCCACACAAGGAAGTATTACATGTAGACATTACTTGGCATGAAAAGATGTAGCTGATGATCTTATAGATGTAATGTGCCTGATGACATGTTTACTTTAATCATAGTGAAGATGGTATTTGCTGAATGGTTGCTATGGTTATTGCAGGGCTTCCCTACTCTCTGTATGCGTTCCAGGTTTTTGTTTAGAAATATTTTATTAAATTTTTATATATGTCTTCTGTCCACAATTTGGCAATAATTTGTTTTTATTAGTTTGGGTGTTTTTTGCATTTTAACCATCTACTGGATTTCATGTAATTTTTTTCTTTTTGTTTTTTTCTTTCAGACCCATCGCCAGAAGGCCCCCAAGGTTTGTCTCAGCATTCTCCTTTAATTGTATTTAAAGTACAACCAATGACTGCTGTATGACAGTCCAGGGCAGAGCTTCTCATCCTTTTCTGATGGATTTTGGTCCCTCCAAAATCCACCCCAGACCCTTGTCCGTGATAGGGGGTCTGGTATGGTTTCTAAGGAGGGACCCCGCGCAGAAACACAAAATAAAGTGGGGTTCCTCCCTTCACATAATTTCCCCCTTGACATTAGGCGCCGCCTCTTTCACCTGACTCCCCTTTAAATCAGGAGCCCTCCTTCACTTTTGAAGCCCCCTTCAAATCAGGTGCCCCCCTCCTTTTCCATCATAGTCACCCCCCTCTTTCACATCAGGCCCCCCCCCCTCTTTCACATCATAGCAATAATGCTATGTGATAATTTTGAGGCATCTCTGAAGAATGAAGAAGGCACACTGGTTGAGAAGAATGGGGATATTCCCCCTTGAATCCTCGGACTGTTATCCCTGGGCTTGAACGTAAAAGAAAATCCAAGGTTTTGATTTGTCACTGCGACAGGAATAAGTCTTTTAATGAGGACACTTGTTCCAGTGGCACCCGTCTAAAAGAGAATTCCTCTTACTTTGGAGAAGGGGCTTCATGCCTTTTTAGGTATAATATATATATATATATTTGGTACCCGCTAATACACGCTGTGCCCTGATTATCAGGAAGTTGTCTGGGGGATCATGGCCTAGCTTCCTGATTTGCCTTTTAAGTCGGTGTTCTAGGAAAAGAACACCGGCTTCACTTGCCAAGGCTGCTTGGCTTCCTGACCAATTAGGAAGCCGGGCGGAGAGTCATAAGGTGCCGTCCGGCTTCCTGATTGGTCAGGAAGCCAGGCTGCCTAGCAACAGGTGTGAAGCTGGTTTTGTAGCCAAGCGGCACCTCATGGCACGCCTCCCGGCTTCCTGATTGGTCAGGAAACCAGGCTGCCTATGAACCAGTGAAGCCGGCTTCCTAACCAATCAAGAAGCCGGGCGGCACGTCATGTCCCGCCTCCCGACTTCCTGATTGGTTAGGAAGCCGGCTTCCCTTGTTCCTAGGAAGCCGGGAGGTGGGTCATAACCCACTTACTGACTTCCTGATTTGGAAAGGATTCTTGCCCAAATACTCTATCGCCACTGATACTAGTATCGGTATCGATGCATCCATAATGGAGGCATTAATACAATAAAATGTGCATATATGAAATGATAGAGGCATTGTCGGAGGCACACAGGGTGTCGAGCACTGGGCTGCTTCGTATATGCCTGCCAGTTGCAAGGCAAAGACTTAAATCTGTTAGGCGTTTGTGATTATTTCAGCAGCTTTTCAAATAAAACCGTTTCCATATTTCATTAAGCCGGCACGATTTTTTAATTCCTTTTAGGTCTCCACGTTTTTCTTTAGGGCGGCAACCAACTAATCGATTATAAGTAATGAGAATAGTTGCCAAAGATTCTCAAATCTATTAGTTGGTTGGATCCCCTAGTTCTTCGAGCTGGTGTTTCATCGGTTCTGTGTCCCCCTCTGATCCCTTTTTTTGTCCCCTTCGATCCCTGCTGCTCTCTCCCACCTGTATCGGCAAAGGCAGCGGGGATTGGAGGGGACACAGAGTGCTGCAGTCTGCGCCCAGCAGGGAGGAGAGACTGCCTATCAGCCAATGCCGCTGTGACTCTACCTTGCGTGCGATAGCCAGCCTTCTATTGGCTATTACAATTTTCAAGCTGGCTTTTGCACCCGCCTACTGCCTGCTGTCAATCGGCAGAGGAGCGGACCTGAAGAACTTTCCATTTTGGTGTCTGCCTATCAGCCAATGCCGCTGTGACTCTACCTTGCGTGCGATAGCCAGCCTTCTATTGGCTATTACAATTTTCAAGCTGGCTTTTGCACCCGCCTACTGCCTGCTGTCAATCGGCAGAGGAGCGGACCTGAAGAACTTTCCATTTTGGTGTTCTTTTATTATATTAGCTTGGAGTTTTTCCATTCAGATTTTTTTTTTAAATCCATGAAACGAATTAAAATATCTAATATAATAATTTTTTTTTTAAATGTCAAAAATGTGGAAAGTCATTTTCCGTTTCGACCTGATGAATTCTGCTGTGGGAGGTGCACATTCATTTCAATGGCACCCCAAACGCGCCTCCCGCCCGCAATGCAATCGCGTTCACTGGAACGCACGGCCGCTGTCTGAATACATGACTGGTGATTGAGGCTCATTGGCTGCCGGCACTGTTTGGGCCAAGAATTTTTGGGCCAGCTCCTTGGACAAAGTCGACTGAAAAATCAACTTCTGTCGAACCAAAATTTGACCAGTGTATGGCCAGATCAAGAAAGAATAGGACAAGATAGTAGATTTGGCCCCCCGTTTCTTCCACTTACGTTAAGAGTTGCAGTAGGCACAGAGAACCCTTGTTTGGATTGCTTGAACTGGAATAGCCCCTCTAGACCCCAGCTGCCTACAAATGCATCATGTCATGGCAGGTGACAGGCAGCTGCATGACTTTGACCAATTTCACTTCTCCACCATGGTCACTGCAGGAGCATGAAGGTTGTAGCTGGGCCCCCTAGACTTTCACGTGGCCCTAGGCTCCTAGCTAGCAGATGATCAGGCTCTGCCATTGACAGAATGACACAATCCCAGTGCACACTAGGTAGAAAGTGTAAATGGTGTGAAATCAGGAAGTATATATGGAGCTGACTGTAATAATAGCTCAGCAGCTGATCACAAGCTCATTACTTCAGCCCTCCTGACAATGCCCCATTGTTCTTCGTGCCGCGGCTCCCTATTCTCCAACGCGTAGACGTGATTCTGCGGTGAATACATTTTCTTGCCATTTCAGTGAAAAGAAACGGATGTCTTATTCTCGCTCGTGACATGCGCAGAGAAGACAATTTCCGTACATCGGAGATAAGCGAATGGTGTCGGGGCTCTTTGTGTTGTAATTAACTCTTTGCTGTTTGTCGTTCCAGATGAAACGCCCATTATCGCAGTCATGGTGGCACTCTCTTCACTGCTCATCATTGTCTTCATCATCATCGTCCTCTACATGCTGAGGTGAGTCTTCGGAGAAGCACATGCTAGGAGTTTTAGCTCATCGGCTTGATTTATTACAATACATTGGCAGTCGCCATGCTCTTAACTGCACTTTTGTTTCGCTGTATAGCCAGCGGGTTGTGAACACCTGACCATCAAAAACCATTCCCATTAAAAAGGGGTTGTCCTTACCCCTCCTTTGTGGCTATTACAGCCGCCACTCTTCTTGAAAGGCTTTCCACAATATTTTGATATGTGTGTCTGTAGGAATTTGTACTCAGCCGAAATAGCATATCAGACACTGATGGATGATGCTGGATCAAAAATTGGTGTTCCCATTTATCTCAAAGGTATTCAGTAGGGTTGAGGTCAGGGTTCTGTATAAGCCACTTGAGTTCCCCCACATCAAACTCATCAAATTGTTTTTATGAAGCTGGTTTTGTACCTCACAGTCGTGCTGGAACAGAAAAGGGCCTTCTCCAAGTTGTCACAAGGATGGAAGTGTACAATTGTCAAAAATGTCTTAGTATGCCGTAACATTAATATATATATTTATCTTATAGTGAAATTGGGAAGCTGTGCTTATTAAATATTATGGTAGGTAGTATATGGAGAACGTGCAATGTACCAACATACCCAGCACACTGCACTGGGATGTTGTGCTGTGGAATGCGGCAGTAGATGTATACAGTATGCAACCGGCTGCGGCACCGGCACAATATGCAACCGGCTGCGGCAAACCAAGCAAGCAGAGTACTGTCTTGTATCAAAAAGGGAATGTACTGTAGAGACAAAACGATAATCTTGCCACTTTATAGATCACTGGTTCGGCCTCATCTTGAGTATGCGGTCCAGTTTTGGTCACAGAAAGGATGTCCTGGAGCTGGAGAGAGTCCAGAAAAGGGCAAAAAAACGAATTACGGGTCTGGAGGACCAAAGCTGAGACAAGGTCGCTAAATTTAAACTTGTTCACGCTGGAAGTGAGGCGATTAAGAGGGGACATGATTTTAATGCACAAAATGTTTGGTGGTGATGGCAACATAAGCAGTAAACTTTTTACTCTAAACACTCTAACAAGGACTAGAGGCCACCACCTAAAACTAAAAGATTTATCCACAAAGGGCGTAGGGGCTTCTCAGTCAGAGCGGTTACATTTTGGAACTCTCTAACAAGCAGTGGTATCAGCAGAGAATGTTGAATCATTCAAAAATCAATTAGATACCTTCCTCATGGACTGTAACATACAGGGGTACAGGTACTCTTAAAAACCTAGGACCACACAGGGACTCGCACGCACGTACACACTTACACATAAAGGTTGAATTCGATGGACCTGTGTCTTTATTCAACCTCAACCCTTTATGTAACCACAGCGGACCATGTCAATAAGATTCCTGTTTTTCTAAGATAATATACATATATACGGCATCAGGCAAATCAGTTTGAATGTCATGGTATTTGATTACTTTCATTCTTAGATATACACAACATTACATCTCTGGGGTAAATGTTTGGAGGTTTCCTCTTTGATGACCCCCATGCAATCCTCCCACATTATTTGGCAGACCCCCGGCACACTGTGGTACTGGCTTTAATAATTGTGTTTATAGTGAGTATACACATCATACTTTATAACCTCCATCTTCTGAGGAAGTACATTGCATCTACAAAATGTAGATAATCCCATTGTGAAGAGATTTGTGACAAGATTCAATATATATATGATCATATATTGCACATTCAGGTATTTTAAAAGCCAGTGGGGCGGACCAGCAAGATACTGAAGCTTGGCCCAGTGGGAGATTCCTCCATCCACACAGTTTAGTTTAGATGGAGGAATCTGTTGCACTTTTCCCATCTAACCATAGAAAATCTGCAGATAATCTCTAGGTGTATGGCCAGCTTTAGTGTATCAGGCCAAGCATCAGACGGTAAGGTTGTCCTATGTCTTGAGCTCTGTGCTGATTTACATATACTCATAAGACCTATACACCATGAAAGCAAAGGTTTGTGGACACCAGAGCATCACACCTACATTATATGAAAAAAATATGTGGACAGCTCTCAGAATTAGGCCTTCTGGTGTTTCCAGTGAAGTGTATTATATATCTATCAGAAACAAGATTTTTAAAACCCTAAGGCCCATGTCAAACTAGTGACCCTGTCACTACTGAGAATTTGCCATTATCGGGATCTCTATACAGGGCTAAACATAAGTGAAATGCTCCCCTACTTCAATGGGTCTCCCCATACCGTGTCAATTATGAGACGTCTCTTCCATGCTGGTGACATTCTGCCGCATTTCTGATAGCATGCCATGCTCAACCAGCTTGCAAGGGAGCGACACATGGAAGTATAGGAGTCATTTCTATGTAGCTTTTAGCAGTTGTCACTGGCACGTTCTCACCACTGACAGCTTTGCTAGTCTGCTGTGCCGTGGCCCTACTGCCCCATGGCACAAACAGTCCTGTCACTGGTGACAGCTTCCCAGGAACGGGATTCCTACAAAGTGCAGTAATAAGACTCTGCTCTCTCATGGGTTAATGAGGTGTTGTTCCCTTGCTGATGAAAATGCTGCAGAATGTCACTCAGACGAGGCAGCGATGTCTCGAAACGTTGCTCAGCCGGCCAGCAGAGGAGGAACATGTGGAAATAGATGAGAGTATCTGTGCTCTATATTGCAGTCCTCCAGCTGACCTACCAGAGGATGTGTCACATGGCCCCAACATACCTTGATTAAGATGGTCACATATATCTAAAATTGTATGAGGAATAGTTTCAACATCATGTCAGCCCCAATGCATGCACCTTTAGATCAGACCCAATTCCTGCACCTTCACACCTCAGATCATTCCCAATTCCTGCACCTTCCTAACTCGGATCATTCCCAATTCCAGCACCTTCACACCTCGGATCATTCCCAATTCCTGCACCTTCACACCTCGGATCATTCCCAATTCCTGCACCTTCCTAACTCGGATCATTCCCAATTCCTGCACCTTCACATCTCGGATCATTCCCAATTCCTGCACCTTCACACCTCGGATCATTCCCAATTCCTGCACCTTCCTAACTCGGATCATTCCCAATTCCTGCACCTTCCTAACTCGGATCATTCCCAATTCCTGCACCTTCCTAACTCGGATCATTCCCAATTCCTGCACCTTCCTAACTCGGATCATTCCCAATTCCTGCACCTTCCTAACTCGGATCATTCCCAATTCCTGCACCTTCCTACCTCGGATCATTCCCAATTCCTGCACCTTCCTAACTCGGATCATTCCCAATTCCTGCACCTTCCTAACTCGGATCATTCCCAATTCCTGCACCTTCACACCTTGGCTCATTCCCAATTCCTGCACCTTCACACCTTGGATCATTCCCATTTCCTGCACCTTGTAACTCGGATCATATCCAATTCCTGCACCTTCCTAACTCGGATCATTCCCAATTCCTGCACCTTCCTAACTCGGATCATTCCCAATTCCTGCACCTTCACACCTTGGATCATTCCCAATTCCTGCACCTTCACACCTTGGATCATTCCCATTTCCTGCACCTTGTAACTCGGATCATATCCAATTCCTGCACCTTCCTAACTCGGATCATTCCCAATTCCTGCACCTTCGTAACTCGGATCATTCCCAATTCCTGCACTTTCACACCTCGGATCATTCCCAATTCCTGCACTTTCACACCTCGGATCATTCCCAATTCCTGCACTTTCACACCTCGGATCGTTCCCAATTCCCGCACCCTTATAACTCGGATCATTCCCAATTCCTGCACCTTCACACCTGGGATCGTTCCCAATTCCTGCCCCTCCACACCTGGGATCGTTCCCAATTCCTGCACCTTCAGAAAGGCTGTGTAGTGGGTAACCATGCAAGTGGTTGCAGAAGCCTGCTGTAGACAAACTACTAGATTATTTTAGAGCTGATCGCCTGGCACAATAGCTTTCATTTGAGCATATTTCTCAGTGGCTGCAAAGGAACTAAAGCCACTTCATGTTTAATTTATAAAAGTAGCGGTGACATCATTACTATGCTGCAAAGAGCAGAGCTGTGGGAGGGGCCCAGCAGTCCCGCTTACTATAGGCTTCCTCTAGAAAACTACAGGTGGGGGCAGAGACAAGACCAGTCACCCTGCAAAAAGAGAGAGCAGCAGTGACCGCTCTTTATTACAGGAGGGGGCGGAGACGAGACCAGTCACCCTGCAAAAGGAGAGAGAGCAGCAGTGACCGGTCTTTATTACAGGAGGGGGCGGAGACGAGACCAGTCACCCTGCACAAGGAGAGAGAGCAGCAGTGACCAGTCTTTATTACAGGAAGCTCCAAGTTTCACACCAGATTACGGCACAGGTCTGGAAGAAATACACAAAGCTCGCCGAGATTCAATGAATAACACAGACAACTCTTGTATTTATAATGTGTTTGTTTACTCCGGAGTTTAGCTTAAAGTAGTGGAAAGGATTCTTTATTCATATGACTGGCTCCCTGACCTTCTGTTCGACCTCTGCGTGTCACACAGACTCGGAATCTTTCATTGCAGTTTACATTTCAGAAACGGTGGAGATGCTCCCGGGTCTGAGTGTTGTGTTTACCGAGTCTCTACATTAATTAGATTTTTTATTTTATTTTCATGTTTAGATTAGGCTGGAATACCAATATGCGCCGAATATAATCTTCATTATGCAGAAGCCGGTCCTCCAGGACTTCCAGCCGGCTTATCTTTCCTATGATGGAGAGAAGTTCTCATGGGAGGAGGCATACTTTGATTTACAAATCTCCACTCACTAAAGAGAACCTGTCAGACAGAAACAAAAGCAGATGCCATATCCCGCTTGTTCTTAAAGGTGCAGGCCAGTGCTGTCACTACAGATCACAGGGCCCCACAGCAAAAATGTGATGTTGGACCCCCTGACCACCTCTTTCTGAGCTGTGAATAAAAATTCCAAGATCCCAAAGACTCCTCTTGTGCATCTGAAGTTGTCTCTATACTGTAGACTTTACGGGGGTTAGAGCTGTAGTCAACTGTAACCACTCCAACCCTTAATGATACAGTACTGTATTATCTTCATATGTTCTATGTTTAGATTGCCACAACAACCTAATGGGGGCCCCCTTCCACCCCCCGGCCCCATATAAGCTGCTATGACTATAATTACACCACTGGTGCAGGCTAAACAATGGTCATTAATCATCCTTCCTTCACTACTTATTGATTCTCACATCTGCAACAAGTATGCAGAAAGTGAAGTTGGAACTAATCATTCAAAACGGGGACATACAATGCAAGGACGAGAGATGCGGACATTGCCATTTTAGGAAAGGCTGGCCAAGCTCCATACTTAGTGTACGGTGAAGGTGCCTGGGGTCACAGTACATAGTCTTTCCTGTAAATGCACGCTATGCCCCACACCTTCTGTTTCCCTATTGGTCCCTTTAATATGACGGCTGGGAATACTTTGCAATTGGGAAACAAGAATGGCAGGGCCAAAAGTCCTTCGTTTGCATTTTTTTTTCATTTAGAGAAAACTTGATTTGTTAATAACTTCAGCTGCTAATGTGTTGATCATTCTAACATGCTTTTTCATTGAATGTAACACCTTCCTGTGCTTTTTTTCTTCACCATTCAATTTAAGTGTATGTAAAGGCAAACATTTGACATACTTATTAGTTTTTATTTATAGAGTAGGAAAGGTGTTTTAACCCATTGTCAAGATTTTATAGGGTTCCAGCTGGGGAGATTGACTTTCTGTGTCCTGTGAACACTGTTACCAGCGCACAAAGTGTGAAGCCTTAATTTTAGTGTTATCAATGTGGAAGAAGACTAAAAAAGAGCGCCAGGTAATCATCTCAAGAGTTAAAGAAACAAACAAAAAAAAACCTTTATTGACTTCTCAATGGATACAGAAAGATACACAGGCAACGCATTTCAGGGGTCCGGAATCCCCTTTCATCAGGGCTTAAACAATAAATATTAGAAATCTACTCACACCAAGGATTTCCACTCCTGCCTGAGCAAGAAGTTTGGATTTAGGAGTTTGGATTTTAGGATTGTCTGCAGAGGGCTGTAAGTTTAGAATCCATGAGTGCGCAGCATCCATTGTTCATTCCCTGATGGGGGATTCCTGACTCCAGAAATGCGTTAGCTGTAAATGTTTCTTTTTGCTGGCATTTGTGCAGCAAATAAAGGTGTTTTTTTTTCTTTTTTGACTATTGAGACGATTACCTGGTGCTCTTTTTTTTTTTTTTTAGACTTTTTCCACATCGATTTCTCATTCTGGGCATCCCCACCCTCAGCACGGTCCCCTGTTTTGTGCAGAGCTGCTTGTACTGAGTCATCAGCCTCAGATATTGCTCCTATTTGAATAGAGAGAGGTCCAGTGCCTCAACCCAGCTCACCCTTAAATTTTAGAGTTGTCATGAGCGTGAAAGGTGAGAGGAAACAAATTTTTTAAAGACAACTAAGGTGAGTCAACTTATTTTGGGGAGATTTCCTCCTGTTACCTGTTGTGTTTGCAAAACAGGAAATAAAGGGAAGTTTCTCCAGCAGTAATCGGACACCAAAAAAAAAGTAGTTTTAAACCTTCCCAGTGCCATCTGACACTAGAAAAGAAAAAGCTTTAGCTATACATACCATCCCACCAGGATTATTTGTGATTGTGTCATCGCTGGGCCAACATCTCAGTCCAGGAAGTAGATGTTGACACTTGGTGATGGCTCAAAAAAGATGGCATCGTCCTTTTGGAGAGAAAAGCAGATGAAGACGTGATCCTTAAGGGTACTATGATCTCTGTGAGAAATAATACAATTGTTCTACTCACTCATCAGTTAGCACGCATGCACTTAAAGGAGAACTATGAGGTGAGTGCTTTTCACTCACCTCATAGTTCTAGCCGACCTGTGACAATGAGACTGTCACAGGTCGGCTCAGTAGATCGGGAGGTGAGCGAACATATACCAGCGTTCGCTCACCTCTCGATCCTGTCACGGCTCTCTGCCGTGAAAGGGGAGGGGCTGGATTCCCCTCCAGCGCTGACTGGCGGAACGGACAGGGGAGGGGGCGGGCACTGCTGGCTCTGCCTCAAGATAGGCAGAGCCAGCTGTCAGTCACGCAGCTGTGCGGATCTCGACATCGATGCAGCTCGCGGTATACTGAGCTTAGGGTAACGGGAGGACGCTAGTTTGTGTAATCCCGTTACCCTAAGGAGAACTATGGGGAAAAGCCCTGACCCCCATAGTTATCCTTTAATATATTCCATATGTGATGCTAAAGTCACTTTAACATGAAAGTGATATCTGATGTTGGGTCCACTTTAAGAACTTAGAAAGTGCCAATATGTATTTATTGTAAGCTTACAGATGATGTATCTTGACATAAGCTGACCTTTAACCTTTGCTTGTAGGTTCAAGAAGTACAAGCAAGCAGGCAGTCACTCCAATTCTTTCCGATTGTCCAATGGCAGAACTGACGACATGGGTAAGTGTCTGAACCTTCTCACTTAACAAAACTGACTCTTCAGAAAGAGCACCTGCAAGAATTCCAGTGTCCCTGTAACTTCTTGCACTAAAGGAAATCTCAAACAATGTTATTACCCTTCCCAGTGGTCTTTTGTGAACTACAGAAGCCACCTTCCTGTGTAATGGTGATGGGAGGGGAAGGTGTTTGTAGTCCAGATAAGGAGAGCATTCCTGGATGACCATTCTGCTCTACAGATACAGTATGGTAGGCAACATCCCGTTAGGATGGGAAGTTTTTTTTTTCTAGCAGGATCATGAGGATCATCTGCACATTGTGAACTGAAAACACGAAGCGCACAGCTCACCCCTATCATGCGTCCCCGCAATCCACATTCGGTGTATGGATGACACTCTTCTGGAGTAATAGGCTCAAAAACTGTGGAACCAGCACACAATGATCTTCCATAGAAATACAAACTTTATTCCACATGCATCTATACAAAGCACAACCGCTGACACGTTTCTGCCTTATTCGGCCTTATAGCTGTGCATTGTGAAGCTTCTTGCAGCACTGCTGACAGTAATACATTGCTTATTATGTGAAAAGAAGACTAGAGCTCCACCTACTGGATGGATTGAAGACAGCAATGATGGATATTCTCTCCCAAATCTACATACGTAGCAGAAAAATATTAAGAGACTTTCTAAGTCTTCTGCACTACCTAAGGAAAAGAAAGGGGGAGAAAGTCCATTGAAATATTCCCTAATGGTCATGACGGGTGGGTGGAGCTGGGAATTCAGGTGCTGTGATTAGTGATGAGCGATATGTGACACACAAAATATGAAGTTTAGGTGACTGGCTTTTAAAAAAACATTGTTTTTCCTGATGACAGAGCCTCAAAGTATGCCACTCCTAGCAAGATCTCCCAGCACCAATCGCAAGTACCCGCCGCTGCCTGTCGATAAGCTGGAAGAGGAGATTAACCGAAGAATGGCGGATGATAACAAAATGTTCCGGGAGGAGTTCAATGTGAGTCCTAAAAACCTTTCTGTTTAATGTGTAGTGGAGTTTAAAGGCATCCCCACGTGTGGAGGAGCTCCCCTCTGTGTAGGACACATTCATGAATAGTTTAGTCCAAATTCCAAAATAGATTTCTCCGTTTGGGTGCAGAGGGCACCAGACTTTTCTGGGGACCCTGGTGGGAATCTTAGCACATTTTTGGAATATCTCTGACAGGCTACTTTTTAAATCGGAACTATAATCTATCTAATGGATGGTAGCATTGGGGGGGGGGGGTCATGGTTTTAAAGATATGGTAAGTGATCCAGGCAGGGGAAAAGACCATTCATGTTTCTAGCAATGAAGACAATAACTTAATCCAGCATCCTCCTAGTTAGGAGAAGCAGAGAGGACATGTCTATATCTGGAATAGGTTCCATGTAATACAATAGCAGATTGTTATAGTGGAAATGTCCAATGGTTAGATCTCTGCTAGGTTACAATATTGCACTTGAGAAGAAAGCGAGTACATGATTGCTCAATTGCTTCCTCAACCTTGATTTTTTCTTAAGACAAATTCTTTATTCATAGGAGTGTTTACAGAAATGATTCAAAGTCTTCTTACAGGATCATGAGAGAGGTATAGGGGACCTCCTTCAGAAAATGGTAGATGCCTGGCTGTGCGTGGCATTGGTATACTTCATGCATAATGTTGGCAGCACACCAGCAAGCTTGAGCTAAAGTGAAAAGCTCTTTATTCCTATATAATTACATAGAAAAGCATTGTTTCGGATGTGCAGGCACCCTTCCTCAGGCTTGTGTTCATGGAGGCTACCTGTACTGTCATGAAACAAAGAGCTTTTCACTTGGGATTAAGCTTGTTGGTGTGCTGGCAACACATCTTACCTATGTGATACACCGTGATCAGGAGTCATTGCAGGACCCTTCTTATCACATGTTCCATTCTACTATAGTATGCGAGACAATATGCTCCATGTTTGCTATGCTTCAGACACAGTTTTGAAACAAGCATACTGCATGGGTGTCAAAAAAGTGCCAGAATATCTTATCTCCTATACTTGTTCCAGGTCAGCGATTTCAAAGCTTTAAAGTCAAAGCAACAGAATGACAGCCAGAGAACTAGAGTTCGGAAAGGAAGTTCAGTAATGGCAGCTTCTATTAATCTCATGTAGGTGTCCCTTTAAGTGACCATCATAGCATAGAGCAACCTTTCTCAGCCTCTTTATCACAGAGGAAACCTTCAAGGTTTTCAGGTCTCGGGGAACCCCACCAAAAATGATATCTATATGTTATGTGTGGGAACCCCTAGCAGCCTCTGGAAGAACTCTGGTTGAGAAAGGCTGTCATAGAGTAACCTCTAAGTGAGACAGCATGTCAATCCAATGTGACTCTACTGCCATCTAGAGGTCCTTTTTGGAATATCATGTCCAGCACTGAAACGTAAAATAGTTGAAATTGTCCTGAAATGGTGTAACTTGTATGTCTATCGATAGGCTCTCCCTGCCTGCCCTATTCAAGCTACGTGTGAAGCTGCCTCAAAGGAAGAGAACAAAGAAAAGAACAGATATGTCAACATACTGCCCTGTAAGTGCTACAATTCATGTTGTGTACAGTCATTTGTGAAAGAAAAAACCTGAACACAGCTAGATGAATCTATATTTATATATACAGTTTTATATATTCATCTTTATTCAATAAAGAGTTATTTCTAAGTGCAGCAGCCAATTGGAATATACATTTTACTGGTCTGCCCAGACAGATGAAATGCTGATTGGTTACTGTGGATAATTGCACATAAGAATGAGAACTCTTTTATGTAGTAAGGATGAATGTTTGTTTTCTGAAATAGATTAAATAGAACGATTGAGTACGGTATGTACAATGCTTTTCATAACTCATGGAGATCTGAGAAACCCGGGACAGCAATCTGCTCCCCAGGGCTTCATGTGTGCAGATCTTTTGGCCTGAAGTTAACTGTGAAGGGGTTCTGTGGACTTTGTACCATTTTTACTCCTTTAACACGCCACTTGCGATGTGGACCCACAACCTTCAAACAGTCTTAAAACCACTTGAGTTTCCCTGTCTGGTTGATGCAGCACAGGCATTGTAGGTTCAGCACAGTGGCTTAGTGGGTTCTGCCTTGCACTGGGGTCCTCGGTTCAAAAATCCAAAATGCTGGGGTCCTTGGTTCAATCAAAGCCAAGATGCTGTCTGCAAGGAGTTGGCATGTTCTCCCTGTGCTTGGGTGGGTTTCTTCCGGGTACTGCAGTTTCCTCCTACATTCTAAAGACATAAATAAGTCAAGGCAACTGGACTTGCTGTATTTTTCTTGAAGACGTTTCACTGGACATCCAACCAGCTTTCTCAATTCAGAATGACTCTGGGAATTTTTTTGTACAAGTCATTCTGAATTGAGAAAGCTGGCCGGATGACCAGTGAAACGTCTTCAAGAAAAATACAGCAAGTCCAGTTGCCTTGACTACTTTTTTACAGATATACCATGACCTGGATGAATGAGAACCTTCACAGACTTATAAGGAATGTATTGTACTCCTTAAGGACTATACGTCTTCCTTTTATGGAATGTACGCCTTATTCAGAAAATGATGAGAGAAATGATAATGGTGTGCTCTGCTTCCTACAAGCAATTAGATAATGACCATCGGGTCCCTCACTTGCTCTGTGGAGGTCAGTTTGTAAAGAACAGTAGTAATGCACGCCATAATAATTCACCTGTTGCAGAACTGATCTGTTGAGTCCACAAAACCTCTTTACCAGCCAACTCCAAGGTGTCCACACAGGGAATTCACCTGGACAATGTGTATTGCTGTAGCTGTGAATATGCCCAATCTGGGGCAAGTCTTGGGTATTGCAGATTGTTTTGCTCAGCACTAATCCACTTTTTTACCATAAAATCAGCATTGTCGTCATATGTTTGTTGTTATTTTAGATAGTTCCTAACTGCAATAATCTAACTGTGTGTAACTCTTCTACAATTGCAGATGACCATTCCAGGGTGCACCTGACACCCATCGAGGGAGTGCCTGACTCGGACTACATCAATTCCTCTTTTATCAATGTGAGTGTTGTTACATCATCATTTAAAGTGATATGATAACAATCCCATCTATTAGTCCATGTTGGCTATTAGAAAATCGAGCAAATGATTGTTTTCTAATGAAATTCTAAGACTGTATGGTTAGCTTAAGTATTCCCATGTAGGCACGTGTGGTTCTTTCTCTGAAGTGTCTTTGCTGTTTTCAAAAATCTTTTGCTAAGGCTTGGTACTAATATTAGGCCGGTGGCTCCCAGCCTTGTGAACAACATTTAAAGGAGTTCTCTAGACAAATACCATATGACTTAACTGAAGGGTGTAAGGGAAGGTGTGTTGGTGAGTGCCAAGGGTGCCCTTCTATATGTACTCCAAGATCAGGGTTCACTCTGTTCATTCTTCCGAGCCAATGAATAGTCCAGCTGGTGATGAGGAATGCCACTGCCTGACAGTCAGCCTTGACACAGCGCTTCTCCCATTCCAGGATGCTGTATGGCCCCATGCCGGCTTGCAAATGGGACCAATTGCATGAACTCCTCCATGAAATTCATGCAATCTGCTGTGGGCTATACAATGACAGCTGCTGTTCGCAGGCCTTTCGCATGTAATTGCACATGTTATGCGATTACATTCGAAAGATCTGTGAACAGTTGTGGGCGCTGGCAGCTGTCGTATTGTACAGGGCCTCCTGCTGCACTCCAGCAGCAGATCAGACCTGTGTGAACAGGGCCCATATCTAACTCAACCTCTCGATTAATAATATAGTAGCTTTAGGGGTGGCACTGAGGTGCTTGCATGAAGAGCATAAGACATCTGAGTGTACCATGTAGATCAGTTGGTTGGGATTCCAGTATGCGTTTACATCGATCTCTGTTGTCTTCCAGGGTTATCAAGAGAAGAACAAGTTTATAGCAGCACAAGGTAAATATCTGTTGTGACTATATTCCAAATAGCTATTCATTTGAAGCAATTGATTCAGGAAAGGATAGCTGTACAGGGTCTGACTAAGGGGTCAGCCAAACGAATAAGAGAAGCAGAAGTGTTCTGTAGTTCCCCCTCTCATGGGACTGTGGTAGCTAAGTCTTCTGCCTGGTCTCCCTTTACCTTTTCAGGTGCTCAGGTATGCCTCATAGACAAGTCAGGTGACCTGCTAGAACAGTGGCTGTCAACTTGCAAGGTTTAGCGCCTCAACTGTATCCCTTGAGATTTCCAAAGGGCCGCAGATAATCAGTGTATGGCAGTATACTGTCAGAGGCTTTAGACATACTAGAGGAGACCATCAGAGACTGCAGACCTGCTAGAGAGGGGGAAATCAGGGACTGCAGACATGCTAGAGAGGGGGAAATCAGGGACTGCAGACATGCTAGAGAGGGGGAAATCAGGGACTGCAGACATTCTAGAAGAGACAATCGGAGACTGCAGACATGCTAGAGAAAACAGTCAGAGACTCGAGAGATATTAGTGGAGATAATCAGTGAATGCAGACATTCTAGAGGAGATGATCACAGACTGCAGACCTACTACTGGATATGGTTAGAGACTGCATACCTACTTAAGGGGACAATCAGAGACTGCATACCTACTTAAGGGGACAATCAGAGACTGCATACCTACTTAAGGGGACAATCAGAGACTGCATACCTACTTAAGGGGACGATCAGAGACTGCAGACATACCGTACTAAATGGGTGGTTGGAGATTGAAGACACACTGCAGGAGAAGGAGAGAGACTGGACACATGCTACATGAGACTGCTGGGTCACGATCCCTATTGCCTCTTTACAAATTAATCCTTCCGTTACTGACTCAGGGAGTCTGCAAAGGACCAGAAAGTAAGTACCAAGGGACTGCACTCAAACATTCCAGACCGTGCCCTGGGACTAGAAAACAAGGGTAAAATAGCTGCCACATTTTCCATAAGCCTGTAATAAAGGGCTGTTTGCAGCCATATTCATATTGACACCCATATAATGCTGTCTACAGTCCCACAGAGCACAGAGGGAAGTAAATGAAAGCCAAGTGTGTATATCTGTATGGGCACAGAATAGGTTCTCTTTAATGCTACCTCCTTTTTGAAACCGTAATGTTTCAGCATCAACACATTAGTTATCATTGTTGGGATTTCTATGCTAAAGGCAAGTCTGTATATCTAAGATTCCCTTTTAAAAAGTTTTGCTGTTACGTTGTCACTATAAGATTTCCTCCTCGTCTCAAGGGCCAAAAGAGGAAACTGTGAATGACTTCTGGAGGATGATCTGGGAACAAAACACAGCGACTATCGTCATGGTAACCAACCTGAAAGAAAGGAAAGAAGTAAGTAGGATTTCTGGAATAAATATACATGTACAGTGGTACCTCGTTTCACGAACGCTTCTGTTCGCGAACAGGAAGTTGGGCAAAATTTTGCTTCCAATCGCAAGCTACGCATCGGGTGACGAACACAACCGCAGTCATCTTCCCTGCTCTGACACAGGTCATGGCTTCCTCTAGTCAAGATCGCGGTCTGATCAGTTTTTAATTCGGTTCGCGACCAGAATCGTGGAACAAATTAAGTTCATGAACCGAGGTACCACTGTATCGGGGCCATTCATATCATCTATACCTTATCTGATCTGCTTTTACCAATAACGCCACCTTCTGGTGAAATCTTGTATCGCGGTCCAACTTTTCTATGCCAATTATTTCTTTCTTGGAGTGGTCATACGTCTATTTGCTGCTGGAGATATCTGGCTCAATAAAATCAGGTAAAGGGTGATATGCTCAAAACACAAATCCAGGCAAGACTTTATCAAAATATTTATGGTGTGGAGAAGGGGTAAAACGTTTTTCAGGTTTTTGGCCGCGGTTTGTGCCCTCCTTGTATCTTAAACGAAAACTTTTCTTTTTAGATAAAGCAGGGAAGGGTTCCTATTCCTGGCAATGTCTTTTTTTTTTGCAGCTATTTTGGTGAAATTTTCCTTCATTTTCATTTACAAGAACTGAGGAATCGCTCTTCAAAACCCTATCTTAGGCAATTGTCTCCAGAACAAGTGTTTGCAATTGGATTACTGGATCCACAGTGGATCACTTTTCAGAGGGCTGTAGAACAGCGGCTGCACGGCATTGCAGGAACAATATTGCCGCCTCTTGAATACAGTGTTTTTTAGACCTCGATTGGGATTTTCAATTGCAGTATCATAGATTGCAATTGTCACATTTAGCAAGTGGCACAACCTGTCAAATGCAACATACTGTTTAAAGTTTGCTGCATCCATAACGCCATGCATTGTGACCCCGGCATGTATGCAGTGCTGAGCAGCCATGATTTGACCTTTAAGGTTGGCAGCCGGGAGACTGGAAAACGTGGATCAACTGCCTGTTTTTACCATCCCCTCAGAACGAGACCCTATGTGGTTGTGTTTTATTGTCAGAGACTATTTTGGGTCTTTTACTGATATAATAGTTTGGATCTACGATAACCCTCTTATCTAATTTCCTTGTTACTTCATTAATAACATGACAGGAGTTCCAACACTATTCAAAGCTTAGACAAAATGGTGCTTTTGCTGGACACAATGGGTAAAGCAAACCTTTTATCTGATTCTGGGTTGTTCAGGTAGTAAAAAGAGCAGCTGCAGTATTCAGAGTTATATCAACCAATCAGCAATAATGTCCTAGCTGACGGTATTGTTGTAAAACTGGTGTGTGTGGTTGCTATATGAGAAGCATGTTGTACTTTAATGAATGAGATTGTGAATATATACCTATTTCTCACTTGTTTATATTCTGTCCCCTGCAGTGTAAATGTGCTCAGTACTGGCCCGACCAGGGTTGCTGGACGTATGGAAATATCCGCGTATCGGTAGAAGATATGACCGTTTTAGTGGATTACACCATACGCAAATTCTGCATCCAACAGGTACAGACTGTTCCTATGACTTTACACTGTCCACCCAGACAAAAACCTACCAATGAATGATGGCGACACAGACCGAAACTTCTGCCCATTTTGCACAAAGTTAACCTGTCCTCTTTTCAAGGGAAGCTGAATTTCTTATCGGCATATCTGCTCTAGGCATTCTTGTGTGCCGAGATTCATTGTGTTAGGCAGTCAGTTTAAAATGCATGGGCTGGAACACATCTCAATGCACACAATCTTTTGTAAGACACGTCACCACACAATGTATTGTAGTGTGCTGCAGTGTGTTCTGGCCATTCTAAATGCATTGTTGTCAGTAACTGCAGTAATATTCCTCAGCATTTTGGTCCGTGGCCTCAATAGTAAACCTCAGCCTTGGTGTCAGTGGCCCCAATCATAAACCTCAGCCTTGGTGTCAGTTGCCCCAATCATAAACCTCAGCCTTGCTGTCAGTTGCCCCAATCATAACCCCAGCGTTGGTGTCAGTGACCGCAGTAATTACCCCCAGCATGTGCCACTGGGTGCATTAACAACCTCTGGCATTGGTGTTGGACACCTTAACACATTGGTGTTGGTGGACTAACATTGATATCAATGGCAGTGCTACTAACGGGCCCCCCAGGTCAGGGCATTGCTGTTAACTCCCCTTCCTCTTGCATTAATCATTGGTGGCCATGCTACGTTACCCTGTTTCCCCGAAAATAAGACCTACCCCGAAAATAAGACCTAGTACTATTTTTGGGAATTGCTAAAATATAAGACCTACCCTGAAAATAAGACCTAGTTGTGACCATTCCCAGGGCCGGCGGTGGCATAAGGGGGAACTTGAAGAGCCGCGGGAGAGGCAGGAGAGAATCAGCCGTGCCAACGAAGCCAGCGATAGAGGAAGCAAGGCGGCAGCGGAGGGAGCAGAGCCGCATAAGCCAATGCTTCCTCTATAGCGCCGGCTCCTGTCACAGGCGGAGTGATACCAAATGCACTCCGCCTGCGAGGAATCTATAGTGAAAGTGCACTTCGCTCATTCTGGCCAGCGATTGGTTAGCAAATTGCTCTTGGAAAGGTACGGCACCCCTGATTGCTCTGATCACCATATTTTTGTACATGAATATATGCAGACTGTTGTACATGAATAAATGTGGATTGTTGTACATTAAAAAAAAAGAATAAGACCTAGTGTGTTTTTTTGAGGCAAAAAAAATATAAGACATTGTCTTATTTTCGGGGAAACACGTTATATACACCATACCTTATTTGCTTTTTACCCATAGCACCTACTGCAATTGAAATCTGGTATGTTCCAAATTTGCTATGAAAAAGGGTGGAGGGTGATATGCTTGAACCCCAATTTCAGACGGAACTTTTTAAAAGCTGTTTAAGAGAGAAAAAGGAAAATTTGTACCATTTCAATGACCTGAAGTATTGAAGCCTTTAGATCAGCATGGGTCCAGACAACCAGAAGAAGGGGAGGGCAGCAGTAGCAGCTTACATAGTCCTCTCTGTAGAAAGGGCAGGCTTCCTATAATGAATGACTGTGCCCCCTTATTTGCATATGTATCTTTAGAACTGAAAGTCACAAGTCTCTTCTACAGACGGGAGAAGTTGGTAACCCTCTGTTTCTCTTTCTCATCTCTCAGGTTGGTGACGTTACAAATAAGAAGCCACAGCGCCTTGTTACACAGTTCCATTTCACCAGTTGGCCTGATTTTGGGGTGCCTTTTACTCCTATAGGGATGCTAAAGTTCCTGAAGAAGGTTAAAAACTGTAACCCGCAGTATGCCGGGGCTATTGTTGTACATTGCAGGTGAGTATGTAAATATACATGACTATGTCCATTGACTGGAGGGTGTTTTTGTGATGTACAACATGACTTTTCAGAAAGACCAATCTAAAGTCTCGTCTGCTGCCGGAGGATAGTAGATGATATGATGTCAGCAGTTTTGTCATGTGGCAGTGCTTGGGCTTAGTGATTGGCTGCTAGACCAGAGCACTGTCACATTGGAAGAGGTCACATGCTTCCTCCATTGCCCTAGCTGCAGTGGAGGACAGAGCAATGGGGGGGGGGCGCTGGTAAGTTGAGAATCAATGGGGTGGGCAATCTACACAGTCACTGAACATGTTTCCAGATTGGATGAAGCAAAATTTAAGAAATTATCTTCTGTTCAATAATCACATTACCTGTTTTCTATCAAGTTTTTGCCGTTATGACAAATGCTTTGGGGACACGCTGAAGATTTAGTTCTGACCTAAACGCCATCTAAAACGACACTGTCCAGCAGGGTGACAACACTGCAGAACAAACAGCGTTGTCACCCGATTATTGGAAGTGGAAGCGCAATGGATTTAGAAGGAGGACCGTCAGGTGAAGAAAAAAAAAAAGATGTTAGAGGATGGACTTGAGAAACAAAAACTGCTGTATGATTGATATTGTCTGATTGCTTCATATGTCACATTTGTTTTTGCTGATCCGCTTTAATAGCTATAGACTTCTGAAACCTGCTGTGTTTGCTCCTTAGTGCCGGCGTAGGTCGTACGGGAACCTTCATAGTCATAGACGCCATGCTGGATATGATGAATTCAGAGAAGAAAGTAGATGTTTATGGGTTTGTCAGTCGGATCCGGGCTCAGCGCTGTCAGATGGTACAAACAGATGTGAGTATAAACAACTGATAAATATACAGAGGGGAATCAAAACGGCAGCAGACAGAATCTGGAGCAGCTGTGCAAACCAATCAGCGTCTCTTCAGTTTGGCTTGTTAAGATTTGAAATGAAAGAGAGAGGCTGATTGGTTACTATGCACAGCTGCTCCAGGTTTTCGCTGCTCCAATTTTGATAAATTCCCTTAATAGTATCGAGTTCACGTACAAGTTACCGATCAAATCAGCTAAGACTAGCCAAGTTAATGTGAAAAATACAGGCTGGAAATGTAAATATAAAATATTTAAATGCAAAAAGATTCTAAATTTTATAGACCTAATAGTTTATACAAAATGAACAATCCAGCTTTGTCACAAAGCATTTGTTTTTCTGATCTAAAGACGTTCCCGTGTCCTGACATTTATTTCTGTGACCCTTGAAAGAAACAACAGAAGCTCAATGCGTCCCTATGTGTGTTTTGTTTAGATGCAGTATGTGTTTATTTATCAAGCACTGCTGGAACATTATCTGTACGGGGACACAGAGCTAGAAGTCACATCTCTGGAAACTCACCTACAGAAGCTGTACAACAAAATCCCTGGGACCAACAGCAACGGCCTGGAGGAGGAATTCAAGGTGAGACCTAAAGCCTTATGAAGCTCATGCTGAGACATTGGCGTGGGGGAAATGATGTGCTCTTAGCAACAGCTTATGTTCAATTAGGCAATTGTGCACTTCCAACTTTGTGACAGTTTGGTGATGCCCCTTTTCTGTTGCGCCTTGACCGTGCCCCTATGCACAAAGCCGACTCCATAAAGACTTGGTTTGTTGAGCTTGGTGTGGAGGATCTGTCTGACTGCCTCTTCCTGTAGTGCTGGCTCAGGTTGCAAACCTATACACAGACACCATGTATCCATTCCTGAGACAAGGCAGTCTGCTGCAAAACAGAAGTTCTCCCCAAGCATGAGAACAGATACAGATTTAAAAGGAAGAGCAGCAAAGAGAAGGGAAACAACCATGGATTACAGTAAGGCGCACATTACAGTATTGTTTTATGTTAAAACATCTGAGGGTTTAATGTCACTTTAAGAGGCTGGCGCCATGCCTTGACCTCAACCCTACTGGACACCTTTGGGATGAATTGCAATACTGATTATGAGCCAGATCTTCTCATCCAACCTCATTACCTGACCTTGCAAGTGCTCTTTTTTGCTCGATGGATGCAAATTCCCACAGACACACTCCAAAAACCCTGTGGAAATCCATCCCTGAGGAGTGGAGGCTATTATAGCTGTTAAGAGGGGCAATTCCAATTGTAGATTTCCATTTGACGATGGTCTATGGCTTTAGGAATAGTAAAGTCTAGATAGTGGGTGACCGTTTACAATAATGTGGTTTATTGGAGTACCCAGCTACAATCTGCTGGTGCCATGACCACACTGCAATGCCATGTGTTGAAATTTTAGGTTTAGGTAAAAAATCTTGTACAGTTCCTAATGAAAACTGCTAAATTTGTGTGCAACATAAGAACTATCTGTTCCTCCTTCCAGAAGCTAACGTCCATTAAAATTCAGAATGACAAAATGAGGACGGGAAATCTGCCAGCCAACATGAAGAAAAACCGAGTCCTGCAGATCATTCCATGTAAGACTATTCTTTTCATGTAGCGTGTTTATGTAGTGCCATTATCTGTTGTGCACCTTACAGAGTACATTGGACCATTCACATTGGGCATTGCAGGCTATTGTGCCTACTACACTCATAGAACTACATATTCATGTCTTTGAACCTGTGCGTAAATTATTGGGTTGTGGGATGACACTGGAGATCCTCGAGGAAATACAAATTACGCAAATTCTGTTCCTTCTGGAAATCCCCCAGCAACGAAATGCCATAGTGCAGTCCAAGCACATTGGAGTATGGTGTGGAGGATCTTAAGAGGCATGCACCAAGCCCTGACCTCAACCCTACTGAACACCTTTGGAATATATGGGAACACTGATAATGAGCTTGGCGTTCTCATCCAACCTCAGTACCTGACCTCGCAAATGCTCTTTTGGCTCCATGGACACAAATTCCCACAGACGCACTCCAAAACTCTTGTGGAAATCCTTCCCAGAGGAGTGGACGCTATTTATAGCCTTAAAGGGGTCGGTTCCATATTAAACAGTGGAAAAATGTCACCAGCACACCATGAGTTGAAAAAGCAAAATATTTTATTGCCAATAGCTGTATCTCATTGGCAAGCGCTTTCGGGGCCTCGCAGGGTCCACTTCATTAGGCTTAGATCTCTAAGCCTGATGAAGGGGACCCTGCGAGGCCCCGAAAGCGCTTGCCAATGAGATACAGCTATTGGCAATAAAATATTTTGCTTTTTCAACTCATGGTGTGCTGGTGACATTTTTCTACTGTTCATGTGTGGCGGTGCCGTCCTCAGTCATTTCGAGCACCCATCTTCATCAAGTGGGAATCCCGGTAAGGAGTGCGGTATGGTTCCTGTTTCTGTCAGTTCCATATTAAAGTCTATGATTTTGAAAAGGTATTCCCATCCAGTTCATTGCTTTGTATGCTGTATCGTCTAGCCACTAAGGTAGGTAAACCATTAGCTGCATTCGTGAAATAAATGAACTTTGCACGATATTCTAATTATTCGAGTTTCACCTGTATGTACAGTCTGTGTATGGTTTGTATGTGTCCTAAACCAAGATGCATTGTAACAAATCCAGTATAGTTTGACCACTAAAATATTTAGTATACTTTTATATTATGTACAGTCTTTCTACCAAGCTGCCTTGCATGTACTGTATATGTACTGTTTAATCAGAATGTCTGACTACTAAGTCACTATCTAGTGTAACATGTTCTGTACAGTTTGGCCATTAAACCACCTGGGTATACTAATGTTTTTTTTGTGATGTCGAACTACTAAGCTATCATGTATAGTTATACAGGTGAAACTCAAATAATTAGAATATCGTGCAAAAGTAATTGCAGTAAGTGCTGCAAAAGGGGCCCAAACCAAGTACTGAGTACATATGCATGCTTGTACTTCTCAGAGGTCCGATATTGTTCTATGTACAATCCTTGTTTTATTGATTGCATGTAATATTCTCATTTTTTGAGGTTGTGGATTTGGGGTTCTTGGGGTTTTCATGAGCTGTAAGCCATAATCATCACAATGATGACAAATCACGGCTTGAATTATCTTGCTTTGCATGTAATGAGTCTCATATATTAGTTTCACCTTTTAAGTTGCATTAGTGAAATAAATGAACTTTGCACGATATTCTAATCGAGTTTCACCTGTATATACTGTGAAACCACTAAGCCTAATGTGTAGTTATACAGTAAAGCCTATATACAAAGTCTGCTTGCAGAGTTGCATACAATTGTGCAGTCTGACCACTAAACCACCCTGTATAGAGAGAGAAATACCCTACTATCTGACCACTAAACCACCCTGTATAGAGAGAGATATACCCTACTATCTGACCACTAAACCACCCTGTATAGAGAGAGATATACCCTACTATCTGATCACTAAGTCACCCTGTATATAGAGAGAGATATACCCTACTATCTGATCACTAAGTCACCCTGTATAGAGAGATATACCCTACTATCTGACCACTAAGTCACCCTGTATAGAGAGATATACCCTACTATCTGACCACTAAGTCACCCTGTATAGAGAGATATAGCCTACTGTCTGATCACTAAACCACCCTGTATAGAGAGAGATACCCTACTATCTGATCACTAAACCACCCTGTATAGAGAGATATACAGTATTCTACTGTCTGACCACTAAGCCACCCTGTATAGAGAGAGATACCCTACTATCTGACCACTAAGTCACCCTGTATAGAGAGATATAGCCTACTGTCTGATCACTAAACCACCCTGTATAGAGAGAGATACCCTACTATCTGATCACTAAACCACCCTGTATAGAGAGATATACAGTATTCTACTGTCTGACCACTAAGCCACCCTGTATAGAGAGAGATACCCTACTATCTGACCACTAAGTCACCCTGTATAGAGAGCTATGCCCTACTATCTGACCACTAAGCCACCAGGCATAGATATATAATCCATCTGATCACTAAGCCATGGTGTGGCTGCGTTAGCTTTATAGTAGGTATTCAGTTGAACAGGATATGTTATGTGTGTGTGTGTGTGTGTGTGTGTGTGTGTGTGTGTGTGTGTGTGTGTGTGTGTGTGTATATTTAAAATAATCTCACATTGCTGTATAAATAGGAGCCATAATAAACACCTGTGCTATGCCAACAATAGCTAGAGAGTTTAGTGTTGGTAAAGCTGCTACATTGTGGCCTCATTCACACAGCGTAGAGTCGGGCCATACAGATCCTTGCGGCCTGCATGGCGGTATCGAGCCATTCCCCGGAAGGACAGGTGCTGTGTGTGATTGTACGCAGCAGCCTGTTCCTCCCTATGGGAGGACGCGGCTGTACGCGGTCGTGCGCTCACTCGAGCTGCACATCCGTGAGGGTGTCCGTGCTCACACACGCACAGGATCCATCCTGTCTGTCAGTGGTTCCTCATCCCCCAACTTGCCTGTTCTCTGTAACACTTGGAGAAAATAAAATCGTCCACCAAGAGGTGCTGTCATCAAACAAGACACTGATTAATATTTCCATTCCTTTTTCTCCTGCAGATGAATTCAACAGAGTCATTATTCCTGTGAAGAGGGGAGAGGAGAACACAGACTATGTAAATGCCTCTTTTATCGATGTAAGTTCATTCTGCATTTCTCAGGCACCAGATAATACTCTGTAAAGGTTCTCATTGATCAGGTATAACTAGTAGTTGTTAAGCTGGGTGTACGCTGTTCAGCATACGGAGGAGAAATTTCAGCACTTCCTCCTTTTTATAAAAGTATATTTTGCTTTCAGTTTATGCAGGTTCTCTTCATCGGTCTTGTCATTACTGAAGGATCCATTTCTGATCATTTTAGGATGGTGTTCCTTTTGTCTTGCAGGGTTATCGACAAAAGGACTCGTACATTGCCAGTCAGGGGCCATTGCGGCACACAATGGAAGATTTCTGGCGGATGATCTGGGAGTGGAAGTCGTGTTCGATCGTTATGTTAACAGAGCTGGAGGAGAGGGGGCAGGTGGTAATCCCAGATCTACTGCAAAACCCATAACTTGTCGATCAGAACATACACAACTAGGCCCTAAAGAATACTGAATAGCACAGAACTGAGCAAACTTACTCCGTCATACTTTTACAGCTAATGGCCAGTTGATTGGTTTCATACAAAACTGAAAAAAAGAAGTTATATATTGAGGGAGAAAAAAACAGGTATTGTAGGCACTCAAAGGGCTTCTCTGCTGTCTTCACCAATGAAAGCCCTTTGAGTGCCTACAATACATATGGCTTAATTATTTGTTGTGTGGTGCACCATGGCATTTACTTAAAATGGAATGCTGATACCACCTTTCTTTGCAGGCAATAGAACCATTCTTGGGACATGGCATTTCTCTATTGCTGTTTAGCTAGATCATACCATCAAAAGATTTTGCCCAAGGAGATCCCTTTACTCCTCCTGTGTAGCACAGTAAAGCGTTCTTAGACCAGAAGCTATCCACTTGTCTCATTCTGTCACATATCCCAAAAATAAGATTATACCTAATTTCAGGACATTTGATCGAGCCATGGATCAAAAGAGGTTGCCCAAGGAGATCCCTTTACCCCTCCTTGTGTGTAGCGGAGTAAATCCTTCTTAGAATAGAAGGTATCCGCTTGTCTCATTCTATCACATAGCCCAAAAATAAGGGGATTATTCCTCATTTTAGGACAGTGGACAGAGCCATGCAAATAGATTTTGTTTTGGGATATCTAATGGAATGAGATGTGAATACCTTCTGTTTTAGGTCTGTAGGCTATACATTGCTATGCATTGATTCATTTTGAGAACGTTTGATTTGTTTGTCCCTTTTCATCATAACCTATATGGTTATGCAGTTCCTTCTTTGAGTGCAAATCCACAGATACAGGTTTTGGTGCTCACTTGCAACCAAGATATCCAAGAACTGAAATGCAGATTCCTGGAGCACTCTCGGTGATAACGCTCCTGAATCTGCCTTCACTTAGCAGGCACTTGTTTAACCAGGTCACTTCCCTGGTCTCTGTTTGTGCTTGGACAATCTGCTGGTGATATCTTGGATTGGGACTTATGTTGTGGCAGCACCCTCTACCATTTCACCATAGAACCCTTCTATGATTGGGTCTGAATGCTGTATGGAGTGCACTGGACTTCTTGTATTTAGGGAGTTTTGTAACCCTATAAAAGGAAGTGTCTGATCAAGGGCCTGCTAAGTTAAAGGAGAACTATGACATGAGTGATTTCCACTCACGTCATAGTTATAAGCCGACCTGTGACAATGAGACTGTCACAGGTCGGCTCAGTAGATCGGGAGGTGAGGGAAAACATACCGGGTTCCCTCACCTCTCGATCCTGTCACGGCTCTCTGCCGTGACAGGGGGAGGGGCTGGATTCCCCCCTCCCTGCTCCGATCTGCCAGCGATGACTGGCGGAACGGACGGGGGAGGGGGCGGGTTCAGCTGGCTCTGCCTCTAGATAGGCAGAGCCAGCTGTCACTCACGCAGCTGGGCGGATCCCGTCATCTAAGTCGGGATCCGCTCCAAGTACGGCGTCTCAGTATACCGCGAGCTGTAGCGCGCGGTATACTGAGCTTAGGGTGACGGAGGACGCTAGTTTGTGTCCTCCCGTTACCCCAAGGAGAACTATGGGGAAAAACACTGACCCCATAGTTCTCCTTTAAGGCAGATTCCAGGAGCGTCATCACCGAGAGTGCTCCAAGAATCTGTCTTCATTTCAATTCTTTGATATCTTGGTTGCAAGTGAGCACCAAAACCTGTACCTGTAATGATTGCAAATCCACAATAACACGTCAAAGCTTATATGATATTTTATTGAGTAGGTTTACATATGCTTTAACCACTATGCTACCATGCTGCCTGATGTGTATGTATGTATGCATGCTTGAGTCCTGCAAAGATATTGGTCAGTAAACAGATCCTTGAAATATACTGCAAAATGACCTACTTATTTTCACTAGACATGGGAGTCTGTGTAACTTGTGTTTTATAATTGCAGACTTACTTTGGTAAATACATCTTTACTTTATTCTTTTTAGGAAAAATGTGCGCAGTATTGGCCGTCAGAAGGGACCATGTCTTTTGGTGATATTACCATGGAGCTGAAGAAGGAAGAAGAGTGTGAAAGCTACACAGTGCGAGACCTGCTGGTCACCAACACCAGGGTGAGGACTTCCTCTTGTCAACCATCTTGTCGCATCTTTTCAGGAAAAGTGCAACTGTTCATATACAGGTTATGTTGAGAAGTAAGAATACATCGATACCGATGCTAGTATCAGTGCCCATACCGAGTATTTGGGCGAGGACTCACTCTCCCAAATGCTCCGATTCTTATGGCGATAACGGAGCTTCAGTCAGAGGGAGATTTTCTCTAACCGGCAGTGCCGCAAGGGAACATGGAGCCAGCTTCACCGGCCAATCAGGAAGCCGTGCCGTGGGCAGTGACTGGTGGCCCGGCTTCATGATTGGGTTGGATGCCGGCTTCCCAGCCAATCAGCATGGAGTCGGGCAAACAGCATGGAGCCGGCTTCCCGGCCAATCAGGAAGCAGAGCTGCAGGTAATGACATGCCTCCCAGCTTCTTCATTGGCCGGGAAGCCAGCCATGGAGCTGGCCAAACTGCATGAAGCCAACTACCTCGCCAATCAGGAAGCCGGGCAGTGGGTAATGACCCGCCTCCACACTTCCTGATTGGCGGGAAGGTGGCTCCATGCTACCTGAAGTATTGGTATTTGGTATCGGCGAGTACCGAAATATAAATATCGGTACTCGATACCGGAAAACCTGTATTGGTGCATCCCTAGTGAGAAGCGACTATCAAAAAGGCCTACAACCAAATCAGTGCATAGTACAGTAAAGCCTTTTTGGAATAGCAGGTATTTCCCAAAATTAAGAGGATTATTCCTGATTTCAGGACAGTGGACAGAACCATACAAACCATTGCTTTTCTCCCCGTTAGCCAGTCTTCATCCAGAACTGCTGGTGTATAGTGCAAATATTAAAAAGCCATTTATTACGCCAAATAAGTCTACTCCTAGTTCATATTTCCTAGGGGCTTCCCTCCTATGGGTGGATCTGCCCTACCCTTTTTTTTGCCCCTTGTTTCCATAACTAGCCAGAGACTAGTGCAACTAGTTATGAGTTGGAGTAACAAGTTGACGTTCCACCTCTATTTACCTGAATATGGAAGCCCAATGTTATTTGCTTTAGCCTATGTTCACAGACTCCAGTTTTTAACGTTGTGCGGTCTGTGTTTATGTATTTCTGCCTCTCATTCTTTGTATTTGAAAAAAAATCGAAAACCTAGATAAAGAATTAAAAGAAGACCTTCAACCGAATGAGTGCATAGCACAGTCAAGTCGCCTTTGGTTGTATTGTCATGTTGGGTCGAGGTCTACACCAGAAATGGCTCTGTAATGTTAGGCTATATTTGTACTGTACACCAGTGATTCTGGATGTGCATTTGGCTTTTTTGGGCATAAATGAAAGATTTGTATTGCTCCCCTATTGTTCTAAATGAGGAAGAATCCTTTTATTTTTGGGATATGTAATGGATTGAGACATGTGAATACCTTCTGTTTTTAAGGCTTTACTGTGTTCACCTTGAGTAAAGAAACTACATTGGGAAGCTGGCTGCTGTGGGCGACCTCAATGAACTGCCATTACATTACATAGGGAGGAAGCGAGTTAGAATTTCTAAGCAAGTAAAAGAACACTTAAAATTGGAAGCAGCAATTTTTTTCTATATTTTTAGGGTATGATGCGACTGAAAACATGTAATGAATATAAAGTAGGTGTTATGCCATTTTGGCTGCGCCAATAGAAATATACTGTAACAAGGAACTTTTAGCAGCCAATCGGAATGAAAGAGACACTAAACATGAGGTTGTAGTCCATCACATGAGTGAGCTTGGAGCGGTGGCTACTTTAAACACACACAGGGACCATGGGAAACAAAAGTAGTCACCCTCCAGAAGGATGGACAGTGTCAGCACAAATTCAGAGACGATTTGAGGATCTACAGCCGAGTGATACACAAATAAGATACATTTCAGTTAATGATGTAATCTCTGCTGCTGGACCTAACTTTGACTTCTGAATGCACGCACATAAAGCAGTTTAGATTTGATTACAAATGAGAGGATCAAAGAGAATAGTGCATTGTTCCCATACATCACAAGCTTTAGAACTCCATTAGAAATGTTCCAATCACTTCTTTCTCCATTCAGCCTGAAAAAATAATTTGGAGAGAAGTCCACAGATTGGTCATTGTTTTCAACAGAAAAGTACCTAAAGAGCATTGCCTGTGTATGTGCATTAGTAGAAAGTGTGGAGGTTGTCTCAGGACTCTGCAGTATTATAATGGTTGTGTGGGATATTACAATGAGATCGTTTTATTCCCATGCAGGAAAACAAAGCCCGCCAAATTAGACAGTTCCACTTTCACGGGTGGCCGGAGGTTGGAATTCCTACTGATGGGAAAGGAATGATAAATATCATCGCAGCTGTCCAGAAACAGCAACAGCAGTCTGGGAACCATCCCATCACCGTACACTGCAGGTGAGTTACTGGTACTCCATCACTGCACTCTACGGGTGAGTTCTGGTACTACTTCTAGGAGGGGTATTCCTTCACTCACTCTACTACTTCGAGGAAGTACTCAATAATTGCACTCTGTGAGTGAGTTCTGTAACTATTTCTAGGAGGTACTTAATTACTGCGCGCTATGGTTGAGTTTTGGTACTACTTCTAGGAGGTACTACATCACTGTGCGCCGTGGGCGGGTTTGTTTCTTCGAGGAAGTACTCCATCACTGCACTCTGTGGGTGAGTTCTGGTACTACTTGTAGAAGGTACTCCATTACTGCACTCTACGGGTGAGTTCTGGTAGTATTTCTAGGGGGTACTCCATTACTGCACTCTGTGGGTGAGTTCTGGTACTACTTCTAGGAGGTACTCCATTACTGCACTCTGTGGGTGAGTTCTGGTACTACTTCTAGGAGGTACTCCATTACTGCACTCTGTGGGTGAGTTCTGGTACTACTTCTAGGAGGTACTCCATTACTGCACTCTGCGGATGAGTTCTGGTACTACTTCTAGGAGGTACGTAATTAACATACATTGCAGGTGAGTATTGGTGGTTGGGTACTGGTGTTGCCTGTAATAGGCACTGTAGTAGTAGACAGTAATCTTCTGTTAAATACCATTTATTTTTGGGGAAAAAAATTAAATAAAAGGCGCTCTAAATCGAGGAAAGGTGAGGAAGGCGTTATTTGGGGTTAACAAGGTTTTTCTTAACCTTTACAGGTTTGCTGCAGCCAGTAGTAGTTAGTCTTATTTAACTGAACTCGTTCTATCACATTGAACCCATTTTGTAGCTTATTTGAGCCACTTCTTCCGTTTTAATGAGTATCGGGAACATACACTCGTATTTATATCAACTTTAAATCAGATTTAAACCCAAAACAATGTAATACACTGCAGCTTACCAACCCTTGGGTGTGGTGGCCACGTTGGTTTCCCTTGTTTAGGGGGTTTTTCCTTCATTTTCCTCTGGTGATCCGGCCAGTATCACACTTCCTGTCTTAGAGTGGCTCCACTTACGCCTCCCTTGATTTATGGCGGAGTGGCATTATTACCCTGTGGAGAGCATAGATTCATATAGACTTTACATGAGTGACTAATATTAAAGCTGAACTCCAGATAACACCGTTTTTTTAAGCAGTTACAGAAAGTTTTTTTTCTTTTTTGGGATAAAGTTTTTACCTGAATGAAAAAAGTTGACTATCATAAAGATCCCTGTCAGTGTTAAATGGTTTCCCTCGACCCTCTACCTACCACTTTTGCTGGAGATCCTGGGTCTCTACCTATAACATCGAGCCCCAGGGTGCATCTTTTATGTTTTAGCGAAGTCTCAGTTCCACGCCTTATATCTTTTAGATTTTGTAGTCTGTCTGAACATATTGAGAGGAATTTATCAAAAGTGGAGCAGACAAAATCTGAAGCAGATGTGCATGGCAACCAGATAGTTTCTTTCATTTTCAAATCGTAACCGAACATACTCAAAAGAGAACTGATTGGTTGCTATGGGCAACTGCTCCAGATTTTGTCTGCTTTAACTTGATAGCAATTATTATTATTCAGGGTTTATATTGGGCCAACAGTTTGCGCAGCGCTTTACAATATAAGGAAGACATTACAATCACAATACAATTCAAGACAAGATGGTAAGGAGGGCCCTGCCCATGAGGGCTTACAATTTAAAAGGGAGGGGCCAGTGATACATGAGGAGGGAGCTGCGTGGGGATGAATTGTTTGAGAACGTGATGGTTGAGTGCTTGGGTTGAGCTGGGATAGGCTTCCCTGAAGAGATGAGTCTTAAGGGAACGCCTAAAGGCAGTCAAGGTGGGAGATAGATGGACAGGTTGGGGTAAATCATTCCATGTATTGGGTACTGCAATGCATGACTCTGAATGAAAGACAGAACTGTATGGGAACATTCATGCAAACCAAAAATTTGCGATGAGCCAGTTCTCCTTTTCTAGAACCGATTTGCTACCGATCCCATTCATGAAAAGATATCTGCTATTTTCATGTGCTAAGGAGGGTACAACACCAGGAGATGTCAGGAATTTTAGACCTTAGGATGGTGCTACTATGAAATGATACACAAATTACTACGAAGAAGTGCTAAGGTTCATTGTGTTGTCTTCTTGCCCAGTGCTGGCGCGGGGAGGACGGGGACGTTCTGCGCTCTCAGTACGGTGCTGGAGAGAGTGAAAGCAGAAGGGATACTAGACGTCTTTCAAACAGTGAAAAGCTTGAGATTGCAAAGGCCACACATGGTGCAGACACTGGTAAGTGCCTTCTTGTCAAATGCTTATGCATGTTCAGAGGCTGCGTAAAGTAAACAGGAATATATGGAAGTACCTTTTGTGGTTATAAAGTGATACATATTTTGATTTACAGATTTATTTATAGGCACTGGCACTTTATCCATTCAGGTATTCATCTCTCTAGTATTCCCCCCCCAACTACTCCTCCCTTTGTGTCTGTAACCTGTCATAGCCTAGAGAGCGCACTGATGTCACCACTCCAATCTTAAGACAGTGCTCGGGCTTAGAGATTGGCCTCTAGTCCCGAGCACTGCATTATAAGAGCTGCTCACATGCTCCTCTGTACTTGGAAACACCAGATTTGGTTCAGTATTTTGTGTTGGGGGAATTGCTGGAGAGGACGGTAGAAATGGGGGAAGGATGGGAGGGGAAGGATGGGAGGGGAAGGGAGGGTTACTGAATGGGCAAAGTAGCAGTGTCTCTTTAAATTATGCTTCCTCTGCGAGATGTTAGAATTCTTCAGTTGTGGAAGGGGTAGAGGCAGAAGCCTTGTAAACTGGAAGTCCCAATTAAACAAGTAGTTCAATTTGAACCATTTTCGATCCTATAAGGGAACCTGCCAGGACAGGATACAACTGAGGGAGCAATCATAATCTGCTGATTTTTAAAGGGGAAGGCTGTCCCATGATGTCACACTGCTTAAAGTTGAACTACAGCTTTACAAATGTATATATACTTACACTGGCCCAGCTTGGCACAATGTTAGTTTTTTCATTTAAATGATCCCTGGCAGGGTCATAGGGATGGTTTAATACCATGTAATAGCTGCAGCTACTACAGTGTTTTACATTGTCTTCCAGTTATAGGAATAGCCGCTGTGCTGAGCGACTTCCCCTGTGTTGTTAAAACACTGCAGGTCACTCCCTCAGCACAGCGGCCATTCAGAGAATGTCTAGTATTTCTCAATGAATACTAGGCGTTCACTGATTGGGCTATGAGTGTGCTTTACAAATGTGCTTAGCACGCCACTGACTTCCAATATCTTAGATATTGATATCTGGTCTCTGTTAAAAATAAGCCCCATAGTGTCTTGTACTGAGGTCAGTAAAGTTAATTTTGGATCTTATGCCAGAGGACACTTACTCAAAGCATCTTCAGTGAAATCAGTGTTGGCCCAGTAGCACACATTCAGATTGGCACTTTAAAATGCCAAGTGACTAAAGAAACCAAAATGCATCCTGAATGGGTGATCAGCTGACGAGTCGGGTTTTCCAAAGAAGCCCCCGACTTCTGCCAAGGAGCTGAGGGGCTATCATTCCTTAAGTTCTCTCTCTGCTCTCCAAAAATCCAGTCTGGACTTTTCCACTCGGTGATCCCTTCCTATCAGCTGGGAAATGTAGAAGGTTTTCAATCTATGCAAAAAAAAAATTACCTTAAAGGAGAACTATGGGGTTAAGTATTTTCCCCATAGTTTTCCTTAGGGTAACGGGAGGACACAAACTAGCGTCCTCCCGTCACCCTAGGCTCAGTATACCGCAAGCTGTAGCTCGCGGTATACTGAGCCGCTGAAGCGGATCCCGACAATTGTGCCGGGATCCGCCCAGCTGCGTGACTGACAGCTGGCTCTGCCTATCTGGAGGCAGAGCCAGCTGTACCCTCCCCCGTCCGTTCCGCCAGTCAGCGCTGGCGGATCGGAACGGGGAGGGGGGAATCCAGCCCCTCCCCTGTCAAGGCAGAGAGCCGTGACAGGATCGAGAGGTGAGCGAACGCCGGTATGTGTTCGCTCACCTCCCGATCTACTGAGCTGACCTGTGACAGTCTCATTGTCACAGGACGGCTAGAACTATGAGGTGAGTGAAAGGCACTCACCTCATAGTTCTCCTTTAACAGATGTTTTTAAATCCCTACTGTATTTATTATTGTGCAAATCATCCATATCGTGCTGCATACACCGTAATAAATATGCTTGCAGTTTTGTGTTTTATTTTATGTACTTACTGTGTGGTGGAGAAAGTACTCTGTGCTGGCAGCACACTTGTAGAGTCCAGCGCCGCTCTCACACCCGACGCAGCGGCCTGGGTTTCCAGAGGTCTGATGCACCCACTGCACAGTGCTTCAATCAAATCACTCATCCTCATAGTTCGAGCCGACGTGTGGCACTGAAACTGTCGGCTCAATAGATTGGGAAGTGAGCGAACACATACCGATCTTCTCGATCATCTCCCTGCAGAGAGCCGTGACTGTCACGGCTCCCTACAGGGATTCCCCCCCTCCCCGATCCTCCAGCACTGACTGGCGGAAAGGATGCGGGAGGGGGCGGGCACAGCTGGCTCACAGCTGGCTCTGCCTCTAGATAGGCAGAGCCCGCTGTCACTCACGCAGCTGGGTGGATCTCGACAGCATTGTTGGGATCCGTCCCGGCTGCGGCGCTCTCAGTATACCGCAAGCTGTGGCTCGCGATATCCTGAGCTTTGGGTCACGGGAGGACGCTAGTTTATGCCCTCCCGTGACCCTCAAGAGAACTATGGGGAAAGATGCTGACCCCATAGTTCTCCAAGTAATTTTCAGGCCTAAATGTACACAAAAAAAGCAAAAATAGATCTGGCAGCAAAAGGGTTAAACCTTGCTGCAGCACACAATATGCTTTTTTTTAAAAGACAAGCAAATCACTGTATATGTAGCCTAACTGTTACAGTAATGCAGAAGTTTCAATTTGGGCTTTAATTAATAAATATATATATAATTTGTTAATAATTTTTAATGTATTCAATTATAAAAATGTTAATTATGCTAAAAATGCATATTGCTAATTTCTTCTTCTCTTCGCCTTCGCAGGAGCAGTACGAATTCTGCTACAGAGTGGTTCAGGAATATATTGACGCATTCTCGGACTACGCCAACTTCAAATAAAACCAAGGGCAGGACACGACCGTGGCCTTTAATATTTTGTAATATTCTATTTAATAATATATCTAGACCAGTGTATATATCTTAACTGTTTTAGAGGACTGGTACAATGTGCTTTATATTAGCTGGAAATTATATATGTAGCAAAGTGATTAGTGCGAACAGACATTTTTTTTTTTTAATTTGAATACAATAGCTGGATGTTTGGATTTTTATTTTTTATTTTTTTTTATCATCATCATCCCCTCATCCATTTGCTTTGACCCGTGGTCCACCCCTAACATGACAAGAAAAGCCTTTGTGGAATGTTCTAGATAGACTCCTGGGAAGCACAGCCGTCTAAGGTTTACTGCCGTTCTGAGTAGGCTTGACATGATTGCCACGCAGCCGGAGGCCTTGTTCTGCTGCAGACGAGGCCTTGGGCTGATGGACGCCTCTGCAGTGTGGAAGGAGGTACAGAAGCCATTTTGGAATTGGCTTTTTGCAGTTGTAAAAATTCTGCCGTGTGATGCGTAATACTGAATATACATTCCAAGCTGTTTAATCTATCTAGCTCATTGACTGAACGGCTGCTGGGGCAACTTCAATTTATCTACAGTTTTCCCTCAGCAAGTGTTCCTACTGTCTGCATATGAAATATACGGGTTGACACGATGATCACGAGAACATGGCCTGTTCATATTTAGGATATCATTGATTTAAGTCAATTGACCACAATGTAGGAATATGCTTAGCTCCCAAGGAAGTGGTGGTCAATGATGCTAGGTCATATATTATAATTAGGTGGCCAAACAATACCTGCCTTTGCAGGGTTTGCAGGCAACTTACGAATGCATATTCAACCAGAGCACAGAAAAGTTTTCCTTGTGGAATTTCAGGTCATATTCTGTGTAAAGGTCCAGGCCACAAAATGGTTGACCACACAATTACAGGCTGTGTTCTGTGGTGCGACACCAGCAAATTGGTTGAAATAAGGCCTAAGGTCCCAATGTGGATGCATTACTGATATGTTGGGTCGCTTTCTAGTGTAGTGGTCCAATTTACAAAAAAGTTTCCCTAGGTCTAGGGAGTAATAGATTGTGATCTGATGAGCAGTTGATTAGCTCACACAATGACCCTCCAAGAATGTATAGGTCACCACGGGCATGGTCCCAACAACAAAATGGCTATCCCTTGGCTCTAAGATATCACTGAATGTATGGGCCATATTCTAATGAGCATTTGCCAACCCAGAAAATGGCTGCTCTCAGAATTCATGACTTCTGCTGCAGTGAATGTTGGTTTTACAAACACAAAATGGGCTGCCTAATGCCTGTGAGATGTCAAAGTTTGTAGGCCTCATTCTGGTCAGGCCACTACTTTTTACTGGCCAACACAGTTTAGAGGGAACCACATCGAATGTCAGGAATTCTCTTGGCTAAGCCCGGAAGCTGAGATGTATGTAGATCACGTTCCTGGGTTGAGGAGTTCAAAGTGCTTTTGCCAAAAAAGAGCGGAATTTACATACGTTGAGGCAAAATTAAATATTGTTACAGTAAGTGGGACTCCAGCTGAAACCTTCCCCCCCCCAAGCTTTGTACAAGGTGGGGGAAAGGGTTCTAGTAGTTTTCATAACTGTGTAGCTGTTGATGTTTCCTCACCTCTTGTATGACAGACGAAGTGAGGAGAAATCTCTCTGACAAAATAGCATATAAAAGAATAGATGTGGAGACCGGTTCCAGTTTAAATTGGCCTATTTTATTTTAAAAGAGTCTGCCTGGGCCAAATCCAAAATAAACACATTTCTGCAATATATCTGTGTTTTACCATGTTTTGTCTCTTTACAAATGCTGCAAGTATAGACAAATACCTGTTCTGCCAGAAATCTAGTGAGCTCCTAACTTTCTGCGGACAATACAGCGTCTTTGCTGCACTGGAATCCCATGAAGTGTTGTCAGCCCTGCCTTAGTTCTCCTTTGCTGGATTACAGAACATCCCCCATATCTTCATAAGCAGAAGGTGTTCTGTAGTCCAGCAAGGTAGAACTCTGATGGGGCTGAGAATACTGCTGGGGATTTCAGAGGTAGATTTGTCAGCTCACCAAAGGAAGTTAGGAGCACATCGGAATTCTGGCAAATCAACAGGTATTTTTGTGTATAAATATCGAGACGAGATGGGGAAATGGGAAATCTATTACAGATGTGTGCTGAATGTTTTTTATGTTGCCCAGACACAACTGGACTGGATTGCCCAGACTGGACCAGCAAGCCTTGCTGGTCCAGTGTTCTGGCCATTTTCTTCCATCTTTCCCAATGCCATGTTTCATGCTGATTATCACCAGTTTGCTGCTCTTTCTCCCAGCTCTATGTAGAACCTTCAACCAAAGGCCTTCCTCCCTACTAACACCTATTGCCAATCATAAGACACCTGGACAGTATGAATGCTTTATTTACATCGAGTGGGTTTGATCGCCAGGATTCCATTGCCGCTTTGTCTCAACTATACAATAGATGGGATTTGCTGGTGCAGAAATCTGTTAAAGGGCGTTTTCTCACCTCTCAACCAAAGGAGGGAATGCACAGTAGGGCTTGCTAGAATTCTCCATGTTAAAACAGATTTGGTGTGCACATGTTGCCTAAGAGGAACGGACCCTTAAGTAGTTAAACTACAACTTATCTAGCAAGTCCTTGTTTTTTTCCATTCTTCAAGCCTGCACCAGGAGACATGGTTCTCTCTATGACACCCTGCCTCATGGCCCATAGTTGTCTAGTAAAGGCCCTGGGGACCTAGCACAAGGAAGCAGCTTCTAGCCCAATATCCATGCGGGCAGTACCAGGCATGGGGGAAGAGATGGGGCGTATCAGTGGTGACGAGGTGACATTTCTTATATCTCTCCCCTCTTTTTGTGGAACATGAGGGGGAAGCGAGTGAGAAGACGCCTATGTGAGCATTGCCTAAGTATACTCTGCTGTGAACCTGTACACTTTTATTTTTTATTTTTTTGTGGCACCTTATTGTATGTTTTTGTTAATTTCTTAAATTGTCTTATACTGAAAGTATCATTGATGACAATAAAAAGAAAACCCAGTGGCATTGTACAGATATTTGGTGGGCTGTCCTAATTTCTCTAGAAATGCTTCCTCCTATTAAAGCCCAATTAAAGTGTTGAGAAAATCTTCACTCTGGTCTTAAAAATGGCAACAAGACACCTTTAGAAATGTTTAGTAATTACAATCAACAAACAGATACTTCTAGATAATTGCCGGCTTTGTATTCTTTGTATGGCTTATTTTTCTTTTCCTTCCCATTCTTCTCGTGGTGGACATTTTTACACATGGCAGATCTCCATCTGTCATGTGACCGGTCATATTATTATTCAGGATTTATATAGCGCCAACAGTTTGCGCAGCGCCCTTACAATATAAGGAAGACATTACAGTTACAATACAATTCAAGACAAGATGGTAAGGAGGGTCCTGCCCCTGAAGGCTTACAATATCATCCTAGGGGGAAAAAAACGCCTTTCCCCTGAGATCTCACAAGATGTTGCAGTTTGCAGATGAGATTTCACAGGAAGGCACTGGTGATGTAGCCTTCCCAGGATGCATCTGGGAGGCCAGGGCTACATCACTGGTGCCTCACTCAACCTGAAAGTGGAAAAACAATAATTGTAAGTAAGAGGAAAATGCTTACTGAATGTAAGATACTTTCATATCATCATGCAGAGCTACATACTGATGTGATGTTTAGAGAGAGGGGGGTAAAAGTCCGCTTAAAGAATAGAAACTGCTTCCACAGTCTGTAAAAGGATTAAATGTGAGATTCTTACTGCGATTGGTGGTAACAAAGCTGTCCAGAAGCAGCCCATAATCTAAGGCAAAGGCAGCAAAGAAGTGTGAGTGCACAAGTCTCTCTGCAGCTGTCTGACTCGGGGTGGCTGGGAGGGGGAGTGTCAGACTGCTGCAGAGAGACTGCTGCCTTTACAAAGCACACACTGGTTCTTCTACCTTGGATTCTAGGCTGCTGCTGGGAAGTAATTTCACTAAAAGTACAGTAAGAACTTTACATTGAAGCTTTTTGAAAATTGTTGAATGTTTCTTGCTGCATTCTCCTTCAGATTTAATTGAGCTTTAAAGTGTATCTAAACCCAAGAACAAAGAGCAGATTACATGTTCCAAGATGTGGTGGCTGCATTCGTTTTCTTATTTCCCCCCCCCCCCCCTTTCACCTGGTGATCCTGCCAGTAACAGACTTAGGGTGATGGTCACCCACCGTTCTGTAGTTATGACGAAGCAGTGTTGTCACCAGAACAGAACTACAGAGCTCCTCCCTTTCTCTTTTTCTTCATAACACAGAAGGCATGGCTGGGAGATAGTTTTGTTGTTAGCAGCTACCTCTATCTCTGCCTGTGCTGCAAGACAAGATTTATAAAAGGATCAGTAGGTATCCTTTGTACATATCCAACAGGTGTAACAAAACCCTGCCAATGGTTTCCTTAACAGACCAAATAATAGAGGTTCATTGTTGGAGTTTACCGGTCAGTGGACAGTTTAACATGTACTGTGTACTGTGTACCAGCTCAGCCAAGATCAGCATTTTAAGCAATTCCGTAGACTAACTTTTGGCAGATCGATGCTCACTGGCATCTTTCATCTTTTCGGGTCACTATATCTATTACAGTCAGATCATACAATCTTTGTACAATCAACTCCAGATTTAGCAAAACGATGCAATATGAGGACCTACCTGGTCTATCCAATCAGAGAGGTCCGTGCACTACATAGTTGTTGTTAGACCCAATGGAGGTTTTACAATCAGATTGTAATGTGTGTGTTCTGTGTGTGTGTGTGTGTGTGTGTGTGTGCGCGCACACACACACACACACACACACACACACACTATTAGCTCCCGATCCCGATTCCCGATACGAGTCCTCCGATGTGTCTGGTCTGGGGTGGGTCACCATGAGAGGGTTCCAATTTCCAAATCTGTGCACCGGGCGGCTCCCGAGTCCCTCAACAGGTTGCCGTCCCCGTCGCCTCCAGGATGCGCCGCGGCCGCACTGCTTGCTGGCGCGCCCGGTCCGTCCGTTGCGCCACCTCCTACAGCCCTCACTCCTTCACATGCGGCTGAGCAACCAGGGGGCGGGGCCACTTACGTCACTCACTGACGTAGGACGTAGCCAAGAGGACGGCTCAGTGGCGCTCTTCCGGCTTCCCCATAACGCTGCCCTGGCTGGCCCGACAAGTAAGTTGAGACTGATAGACACTGCACAGGTCAGCCCCGCTGCGGCCGGCGGGGACTCGTCCTTCAGATGCCGCCCGCACTGAGCTCGATTGGACGGCCGGAGCCGGACTTATGTTGGCGCCCGGCGACTGTCACTGTCAA